TAAATTTGATTTTAAGCTTAACCTACACCGGCGCCAGAGAGGGGCATATGCCTTCAATTCTTGCAATGATCCATCATCGCAATTTGACGCCGATTCCCGCTATCCTCGTATTGGTAAGCAGTGGACGTAAGAAATTGTGAGATTTGTGAGCGAGGTGACCGATGTTACTGGGGCACTTGGTGCTGTAGTTCTGCATCTACGATTTAGGTCGCGCCTCTCAATAGTAGGTGTTTATTTCGTAGTAAGAATTGAACTTCAGGTCTGTGTTGAGCACCCAAGGAAGCATTTAACGCCTGTAGTGTAAAGGAGCACTCCTGACGCGGTAGAGCGAAGTCAATAGACGGATATGTGGGATTATATGGAATTTCGCATGTTTACTGCAGCGTAAATCGTCCATCGCGACACACAGAGGTAAGACAAATGTAGCTGGTGCAAGCCGCCACAATTAAGTTTCGTAATTGCGAATGTAAAGCGTAGTGTTGCGTTTGGTTACAACGTTTCGAATAGTCAAATATTGGAGAAGAAAGTGTGGTGCTTTGAATGTGTGCGGTGGGAGTGCGTCTTCTTAAATGATGCATGTTGTGGGTTTCTACCTAGAAGTGATATGATGTTAAATATTCTGTAAAGCGCCCGGCGCATTAATATCTCGAATGGTGGACTGTCGCCTTGAACACCTGGGAGAGAATGTCGAGTAGGTTCGTGAGACAGTGAATTGAAGCGTGACATGCGTGGCAGCAGGAGCATGAAATAGTTATTTAGAAGTGAGTCTCCATTAAATCCAATGCGATTGCTTAAGTGCAAGTGGTCATTTAGTGCATTAAATGGTGGGTCCTCGAATCACAGGTGCCACGTGGGACAAGTGAGGTGTTGAACGTGCTGATGGTGAGGACTTGGTTCATCTTTTCTTTAGCTCTTCCTTGCTGTTGGATTTCAATTCTACAGTGATCTGTTCGCGTTGATTGAGTTGGCTGGCTTCGCATTCGCTTTTATCGCAGCTCTGGCCGTGGCCTCCCTTCTCTACATGCGATATAAGGAGCCCAACGTCAGGACATCGTTTCAGGTACTTTGACGAAGTTGAAGTAGGCCATTTAAGGGAGGCTTGTTGTTGTTACTGTTGTTGTTGTTGTTGTTGTTGTTGCTACTGCTGCTGCTGATAAGTGAAGAGGTTGAGGAGTTCACTTTTGTTAAGACGCGTACTTTG